CAGCAATGCCTTTATCAAATCCAAGTGAACCATCACCATGCTAGGTCGTCTCTTCATCGGTTGATCCGCACCGTGCAGGTTATAGACGATCAGCGAAGGAAGGTATAGTTTAAGATCTTTCAAAGCCTGTTCGGAGAAGAATTGTTCACAACCATGGGCGTTCCACAACGGTACCACGTGGCGCTGAACGTCCTGAGGAATGCCCTTATCGAAGATGGTCAAATCATCCCCAGAGTATGCCTCGTCAAACGAGTCATTGTCTTGAGGCTGAGGCTCAGTGACATCTCCGTGAACTGCCTCTCCTTGGGTGACATTCCCTTGGGCACCGCGGTGGAGGGCAGTGCCCCCATCGACGACATCGGCAAAAGCCTCTTCGGCCGTAGCCAAACACCCGGTGCTACTAGAAGTACTCGTTTCCCCCAAAGAACGAGACTTTGAATCAGACTCGAAGGACAAGCGAGAATCCATGGCCACCTCTGTGGGGTTCGACATTAGTAATTGAGGGATAATAAGGAAGGGTGAAAGAAAATTACCTAAATGACGAGGCAAGGGAAGCAGACAACCGGAACTACTGAGCGGAACGACAACAAGCACTTGAGAGCGGATAAGCGAAAGTTTGGAAACCCTAAAGAATCCGAGGGAGCCGGTATTTATAGGTGTTTCCACCACCTCGCAAGCCGGTAGGTGCGCGACACGTGGCGAGGAGCGTACCCCAGGACACATGTCGTGTGGAGCTCAATAGGCACGTAATGATTACCTTTGCCATGGAAACTGAAGCGGCCGCCATAACCGTCATCTGGGGTTTCTGAAACTGCTTAATAACTGTCACATCGGGAGCGTCAAGAAAGGTCGGATCGGGAAAACATTTATACTTCCTCATGTCTCGCGCACGCTCGGAACATCAAAAATGGAGGACTTATGTTGGGTTAATTGGCCTGATACCAGAGTCGGTTCAATAACCCCTCGGGAAGGATCCTCATTAAGGCTCAGTTTGGGCATGGTCTAGCAAGAAGACTGGACGGACGCTCAACGTATCAATGGGGATGGTCGGCTTCCTTGCCTTTGGCCAACTGATGTCAGGCCATGATCCAAGGGCCCCAAAGTAGCAATCGGCGTAGGCCAAATGGGTCCCCATCCTTGTGATCATTTGGACCCAGAGAGGCCCAAGACCGGGTGGACGCTCGTCCGGACCCATTGGTGGGAAACCAAGATATTGGCGGGAAACGCATTTAATGCAGTATATTTGGTGGTTGGGAAGCTAGTCACCCACAATTCTCCACATCATCAACATTACCTACCCCTTGGTAGTATAAATAGTAGCAATTATTTCATTGTAGAAGATTGACAGTTATACTCTCTAACAATAGCAATTATTCTCTCCTACTAACTCATATACCTAGCGGGATTGTAGCGAAGTGTATTGTGATAGACTCTTATTATTATTGAAATAAGACACGGCCCACTTAGGGTTGGTTTGCAACTGCTTTTAAAAAAGCACTTCTCAACTTTTGGCTTTAAAAAAGCACTTTGATAGAGTATTAATTCTAGAGAGAAGTGAGAGCTAGAGAGAGAAAGTGAGTAATTATATTTCTCAACCCCCTATAACTAGCCCCAAGGGGTCTATTTATAGGTAAAAATGTGGATTTGGGCTCCTAGCCATGGGCTTAGGAGGCCCATTACAATAATCGTGCCTTCTTTGGGCGAAATAGGGCCACTAATGGGCTGAGTACAATACTTAGCAAATAAAGTAGAGAGATGCATTCTGCTAGGACGAGGCCTGGCCGATGCGGTGCACTTTTGGCCGATGCGGTCCCATGGCCGATACGGTCCATGGGCCGATGCGGTCCCGGGAGTCCATGCGTGCTTCCTGGGCCGGTTTGGTTTCTGGCCGATGCGGACCCGCTGGCCGAAGGGGGCCACGTGGGTGTTCTTCTGGCCATCGTTGACTTGAGTATGTGGGCCATGGGGTCCGGGCCCATATACTCTATCAGGAGTCCCCCACTCTCTGAGCTGAGGTGAAGCCGAAGCGAAAGGGAGTACTTGTTCCTTTCTGGCTGGCCGTTGCGTGAGTCTAAGGCATTTGTTGACCGAAGAGTTCCTGCTTCGATTTCGGACGAAGCGGTTCCCTTATTTGATGTAGATGAAGCGTGCTTGGGAACTTCCTAGTCTTGATGCGGGCCGATGCACACTCTGTGGAAGTGCCTTCGAAGACGAGGCGATGCGCTTTCTTTTTTGTAGATGTGATGAATTCTTGGATAATTTGGCATGCCTTCGCTGTTATCTTGTTGGAGCCGAAGAGCTCCCGTTTATCCTTTTGGCCGTAGCGAAGACCTATTTCCATGAGGTGAAGATGGTTTTATTCTGTTTATGTAGACGATGCGATGCGCACCTTTGATTTGTTATGCAGCCGAAGCGTTTTGACTTGTGAGTTTTGTTATGGTGAGACGATGCGGTCTTCTCAGTGTACGCAGCCGTTGCGATCCTCTTGCGTTGGTGGACGTAGCACTGCTAGTAAATAAGCCGATGCGCGTTGCTCTATGTTGTGTAGCTGTTTTAGTGTTTTTATAGCCAATCGCAATCCTTAGTATTTTGATGGCTAGCCGATGCGATCTTTTGTTATTGGCCGTTGCGTTCTCTCTTTTTGTGGCCGATATAGTCCCCCAGTCCCCCACTCCTTTGGCCGAAGAGCATCTGAGGCACAAGGGAGTAATGAGCCGATCCGGTACCTATGCGTTGGTCGTGACTCCAACCCTTAGGCGAACCTGTCCAAGGTAACCCTGTGGGAGAACCCTTGGACGAAGGCCGCAATGCCAGGGTTATCATCGACGATGCGCGCACAAGCAGCCGTAGCGGTCTATTCAAGGTTCTTTGGGGTTGCTTTGGGGCCGTAGCGTGTTTTGCTGATGCGGCCATGTCTTTGGTAAAATTGGGCCGTAGCGGGTTTCTCCTTGTTTTTTGAGTGAGTAGGCCGGTGCCTACCCTAGTCTCAGGGCCTGTTGGGCCGTAGCGGCGGTCTCAAAGTGGAATGTGAAAAGACAAGCACTGATTGGCTTTAGGAGAGGTGCCGTAGAGGTGACCAATTGGAGTTTGCCACGTGTAGTGACCGTTGGAGGGGGTGCCTATAAATACCCCCAACTCCGAAGCCATTCCCTCATTTGCCTTTTGCCTAAGTCGAATTGCTGCTGAGATCCCTAGAGAGAGAAGTGCTTCCCCGAATCTCCAGGTGTTCAAGTGTTCTTCAAAACTTCAAGGTTAGGTTCTTGTAATTGTTTCTTCCTTTTTCCTTACACTTTGCTTCCTAGGGGGTTAGATCTAGTGTTCGTAGGAAAGTCACTTTGATCCGAAAAACCGCCCTTAGGAATAGGTTTAGGTGTTATGCCGTTCCCTAACGGCTGTAGCATTCCCTCCCCCATTGATTTGACAGCTTCTTTGGACGAGTCGGATTGGCCTTTTGACGAGGACGACACGTCCCCTGGAGTTGATCTTCGACTGATTGAAGCCTTCGAGATCGAGATGGAGAATACCGCCGACTACCGCACCTCTGTAGATGAGGAGAGAATGAGTGCCGACGCGGGAGCACATAGTTCTGGTGAGGACGAAGCGACATCTAGCTCGCCTCTGAGGGGGGATGAGGCATCCTCTTCTGCCCACATTCCTTGTCCTCCGCCGATATCGTCAGTAGCGGGGGAAGGCCCCTCGGCTCCTAAGACAAAAAAACTGTACCGGCGGAAGCAGCGTAAGGGAGTACCGCGGGGGTTTTCACAGTTAGATCTCAGCAACTTGTACATCATTCGGCCGGAGGGTTCCCTCGGCGAGTACCATGTTGCACAGCTGTACGTCGGTCCCTACGGCCGTGTCAGAGCCCCCCTGCCGTCGGATCACGTTTTGAACCCGCCGTTAGGCTATTTTGGGGTGTATCCGATGAGCTTTGCCAAGGGTTTGAGGTTCCCTCTTCATCCCTTCATCAAGGAGTATCTTGACATGGTGGAGCTCCCTCCGGCTCTGTTGACTCCCAACAGCTTTTCGCTCATCATCGGCTTCTTGATCCGGTGTAAAGAGTTGGAGATTCCGCCGACGACTGCCCTGTTCATGAACTTGTTCCGGATAGGCCGAGGGAGCCATCAGAATTGCGCCGGCTACGCAACTCTGCAGCAGATTAGTGGGAGGAGGTCGTTTACGGATCTCCCTACGTCTATTCATGGCTGGAAGGCCAAGTTTGTGTTCGTCACCTTGGGTCAGGGTGGCTTCTTCCCTTCCAATGGTCACAGCGGCCTCTTCCAGTTGCACACCCCCCCATGGAGTGCTGAAATAAGCAACCAGGTGGAGGCCTTTATTAAGGGAGGGCCGAGGAGCATCAAGACGTACGTCACTGAGTATCGGATGGCCGCCCTCGGCTTTGTGAGATATTATTGTCCTGGCGACGTCGATGATGATCTTTGGCCGAAGATGGTGGGGTCTTATGAGCAAGCCGACGGTCCCCCACTCGGTGTCCCTGCCGAAGCCGAAGGTTGTCCTTCGTCCACTCACCCTTCTCGTAGTGCGTTCAGTTATTGTTTTACTGATGTTCCTTTGTCTTGTGCAGGTTTTGCCATGGATCGCATGTCTTTTATGGCCAGGGCTGCCAAGAAGGCCGATGCGGAGTTGAAAGCCGCTCAAGCTGCCGAGGCAGCGAAGAAGTCTGTGGGCGGTTCTCAAGGGGGTGCCGAGGCCGGTAAGAAGCCTGTGGCTAAGAAGAGCAGGAGGGGTGCTGATGAGGGCCAAAAGACTCTGGCCGAAGCGGGGCTAAAACTGAGCCAAGCTTCGAAGAAGACGAAGAGGGCTCCAACGAATGGAGAGGCCGGCGCCCCCTCATCTCAGGCTGTTGCGGATGTTCAGCCGTCGGCGGTCCCTCCTGTGAGTGATCCCCCTTCATCGGCCGTTGTGGCCTCGGCTTCTCGAGTTGCTCCCTCTACTGCCGCTGCCGCCCGTTTGGAGGAGGCTCTTGCTAAGGGGTCGTATGAGGTCTCCGTACGATACCCTGTCAAAGGCGGTCTTTTCAACGAGACCGTCGGAGGTGATGACATGCTTGCTCAAGCTATGCCTGAGTATGATCGCCAGTATCTCGGCCGACAAGGCCAGCATGTTCGGCTGTACGACGGAGGGATGGACTATGTCGTCCAGGTAAGGCATTTTCCTTAGTGATTTTTTTTTCCTTTGCTTTTGTTTCTCTTCTGATTTCAAATTCCGCTTCGTCCAGGGTGCCCTAATGCTGCGGGAGCAGCACTGGAGACAGGAAGCCGAGATAGAGCGGCTGAAGAAGATGGAGGCTAAGGCTCTCTCAGCCGATGAGGCCCTCCAAGATCTGAGGGACAAGGTCAGGGCCGCAGAAGAGGAGATGAAGCTTCTTCAGATCCGGCTTGATGAGGCCGAGGCCGCCCGGAAGAAAGCTGATGAGGCCGTCGTCGCTGCTATCCAAAGAGCCGAAGAGGCGGAGCGCCTCAAAGCTGACGCTGAGAAGGCCGCCGAGAAGGCCGTAGTGGATTTCAAGGCCGAGGGGTGGAAAGCCGAGGACCAGCTCCCCTTCTGCTATGAGGTGGTTGCTGAGAGGTTGAATGATTGGACGACGAAGGACCCCGCCGGCCAAGAATTCTGGATGAACGAGATGCAAGCTTTCTACGACTGTGGTCAGTACAGGATGCAGAAGCTGATCTACAGGAAGCTTCGTCGTCGCTTCCGGAAGATGAGGCCGAGGGGTCTGAGTCTCCCTCGGCGAATGAAGAATCCTGACGAGGATTTGAAGCTCCCCCTGTTGGAGAGGCAGCCCCCGATCCTAAGCTCGTCTGAAGGGGAAGAGCCGTGGAGTGATAGTGATGACTATTTGCTCGAGGGGCCTGCCGATTCCCAAGCCGATGAAGGTGGTGGTGATGATGATGCCGATGACGGCCACGGCGACGGTGCTGTTGATGGTGGAGTGCCAGCTAATGTTGTAGCTTAGTATTTTCTTGTATTAGTTTTTGTAGCCATAGCACTGAAGTGCATGTAATGGCCGAAGCGCCCACCTCTTGTATCTTTTTATCCATTAATAATAAATCCTTTTTGTCACCATGATTCCCTCTTCCTCTTTGCAGTTAGGTATGTTTGCTCTTGTAAAATTTTCTAAGTGTCAAGGCTGTGTCTCGAGGTCGTTGGCGTCCCTTGATTGAGACGTAGCGATTTTCTCGCCTTTACTGTCCTTGGGGACGATGCGCCTCCTCGTCCCTTGGTGAATTATTTTTCCTTGGCAAACCTTGTCCACGCATCACGTTTTGGGGCGTAGTTTTGAAGTGTTGAGGACGAAGCGGTACCCCAGATATAGAATGGTGACGCATCGTCTCTCTTGTAGTGTGACTTAGAAAATGTTCTAAGTGTCAAGCTTGCCTTGATGGAGTTGTTTTGCCTTGGTTCGTTCACTTGGGTTTTGCTACTCGGAGATGATGCGCCCCGTCGTCCAAGTAATGGACCGTGGTTTTGTATAACCGAAACCGGAGCGATTTCCTCTTATGAAGCTGTGGTTGAGGCCGAAGCGTTCACCTCGGATTCCTGTTAGGTGAAAACCTGATATGTACTTAGCCGATTTTGAGGCTTTGGTTTTTGTGGGGATTTTATTTTTTGCTCGAGGCCGGCGAGTGCGCGGTCCGTCGGCTTCCCTTTTTTTTTTTTTTTTTTTTTTTTTTTTTTTTTTTTTTTAGGGTGGCCGAAGGGTTACTGTCCCTTCGTCCTTGTGCGGTATTTTGCCCGCTACGCTTTCCGCGTGGATTAGTGCGAGGGAGTAAATACGCCCTCGGCTTGGTGTCAGTGGCTTCCTTTTCTGGCCTTTCCACGTCTATCGTCGACGAGGGACCGGACAAGGCATCGTCTTTTGACGGCCGCCCTTTGTGGTCCTGAGCGAAATTTTACTGACGGGTGGAGTTTTTGTAACCTCAGCCTTAATTCAGGCCTGTCGTCCTGCGGTTTCCGCGCGGACGACGCGGTATGCATCTCCGTTTGAAGACGTTGGACCATGCACACAGGTCCTTCGTCCTACATATCGCCGGCCGATTTGGGTGTTTCACCGCTTGTGCCGATACGATATTTAGGTGCGTTGTTTATTGCAACGGCTTTATAGGCACGTTGTGGATCGCAACGGCCTTAGGTGCGTTGTGTATTGCAACGGCTTTGGGTGCGTCGTTTATTGCGACGGCTTTAGGTGCGTTGTTTATTGCAACGGCTTTGGGTGCGTCGTTTATTGCGACGGCTTTAGGTGCGTTGTTTATTGCAACGGCTTTGGGTGCGTCGTTTATTGCGACGGCTTTAGGTGCGTTGTTTATTGCAACGGCTTTGGGTGCGTCGTTTATTGCGACGGCTTTAGGTGCGTTGTTTATTGCAACGGCTTTGGGTGCGTCGTTTATTGCGACGGCTTTAGGTTGCACCGGACCCGGGTGATTGCACCGCTTAGGCCGATGCGGTCCTTAGGATTACCTTTGTTCAACTCTTTAAAAGATTGGATGAAACATGAATTCTATTCAATGAGTGGCGCTAGGCCGAGGGTGTTTTATTCAACCAATAAGCCGAGGGGTGGGGGACGTTGCCCGCTTCACCACTTCTCGAGTCATTGGTAAAATTTCACCAGGTGGTGTACATTCCACAATCGTGGTACATCTGACCCATTGGGGTTCTTTAGTCTATAAGTGCCGGCTTTGATGACGGCGCTGATGATGTAGGGCCCTTCATATTTGACGGCGAGCTTTCCTCCTTCCGTCGGCTTGCTTGCTTCCCTTCGTCGGAGGACGTAGTCCCCCACCTGGAATTCGCGAGAGCGGACCTTGGCGTCGTAGTAGGATTTGACTTGTCGTCTGTAGTTCTCTGCCCGAAGGTAAGCCATCTCTCGCCTTTCATCAATGAGGTGCAAGTCAATCTTCATGGCTTCTTCATTGGCTTCGGGGTCGTATTGTGTGACCCGTCGGCTGGGGAGGGTGACTTCAGTGGGAGCTTTGGCTTCGAAGCCGTAGCACAAGGAGAATGGTGTCTCCCCGGTGGCCCTCCTCGGCGTAGTGCGGTAGGACCATAGGACGTGGGGGAGCTCGTCGACCCAACTTCCGCCCTCTTCTTCAAGCTTTTTCTTCAGCCCCTCCAAAATGGTTCTGTTGGCGTTCTCAACCTGCCCGTTGGCCTGAGGGTAGGCAACGGAGGAGAAGCGGTGCTTGATACCCCATTCTTGGAGGAGGGTTTGGAACGGTTCGGCCTCAAACTGGGTGCCATTGTCTGATATGATCTCCTGAGGCACGCCGAAGCGGGTGAGGATGTTCTTGTAGACGAACTTTCGACACCGCGCTCCGGTGATGCTTGCGAGTGGTTCGGCCTCGACCCATTTGGTGAAGTAGTCGATGGCGACGATGATGTATCTGTTGTTGCCTGCAGCTCTCGGTAGAGGGCCGACGAGGTCGATGCCCCATCTGGAGAATGGGATGGCAGTGCTGACCGGGGCGTAGTTGACGGCTGGTCGGCCAGGTGCCCTTTGATAGTGTTGACATGCGCTGCATTTGCGGGCGACCTTAGCACAATCACGCGCCATCGTCGGCCAGAAGTAGCCTTGGACGACGAGGCGGCGCGACATGCTGAAGGGCCCCTGATGTGATGAGCATACGCCGCAGTGGACTTCTTCCATGGCCACTTCGGCCTCATTCTGGTGCAGGCACCGGAGGAGGGTGCCGTTGTATGATCTCTTGTAGAGCTTGTCACCCTCAATGACATAGCTTGGGGCCCTGAGCGTGGCTAGTTTGGCCCTCTCCTCGTCTTCTGGTAGTGTGCCGGAGGTGATGTATGTTGCAATGTCAGTGATCCAGTCCTCCGGCTGGTGTTGGATGGAGAGTATAGGGCTAGCATGAATGCTTGACATGCTCAACTCCTCCACCTTAGCTATCTTGGAGATGTGCTCAGAGGTGTCGGAGCTGAGCTTGGAGAGTATGTCGGCCTCGGCGTTCTCCGCCCTTGGGATCTGAGTGATCTCGTAGGTATCGAACGCCTTGAGCAATTCCGCAGCGGCCTCCTTGTATTGTTTCATCCTCCCTTCTTTGGCCTCGTAGGAACCCTCCATTTGGCTCACTACGAGTTTGGAGTCGCATTTGATTCTGACGTTGCGTGCTTTGAGGCCAGCGGCTAATCTGAGACCGCTGAGGAGCGCTTCATACTCGGCCTCATTGTTGGATACTTTGAAGTTGAAGCGTATGGCATAGTATGCTCTGAATCCTTCCGGGGAAATGAGGACGACGCCACCCCCACAGGCTTTGGTGGCTGAAGACCCGTCCGTGTAGAGGGTCCAGGCTTCGTCCGGTTCAGCTCCTGTGGTGGTAACGGCCGTCTCCCTTGCCGTGCATTCGGTGACGAAGTCAGCTAAGGCTTGTCCTTTGATGGAGGGCCTTGGCTTGATCTCTATCTGGTACTGGCTTAGGAATATCGCCCATTTGATCATTCTTGGAGAGCTGGTTGGGCTCCTCATGAGGGCGCCCAACGGCTGATGTGTGAGGACGTGGACGGGGTGAGCTTGGAAGTAGTGTCCAAGTTTTTTCACCGTGTGGACGATGGCCAGCACCGTCTTTTCAATGGGGGAGTACCTGAGCTCGGCCTCCCGCAACGTCTTGCTGACGTAAAATATTGCCTTTTGTACCCCGTCATCCTCCCTGATGAGTACAGAGCTGACGGCCGACGTGCTCACCCCTAAGTAGAGGAAGAGAGTCTCGCCGGGTTGGGGTTTGGATAGGACGGGTGGGGAGGCGAGGTATTGTTTCAGCTCTTCAAAGGCTTGCTGGCACTCCGTCGTCCATTTGAAGCTGGTGGCCTTCCTCATCACTTGGAAAAAGGGGAGAGACTTCTCAGCGGATTTTGAGAGGAAACGGTTCAGGGCCGCGAGGCGTCCCGTCAGCCGTTGCACCTCCTTTATGTTGCGGGGCGGCTCCATATTGATGATGGCTTGTATTTTCTCCGGGTTCACCTCGATGCCCCTTCGGCTGACCAGGTACCCCAAGAATTTACCTCCCTGGACGCCGAAGGTGCACTTCTTCGGGTTGAGCCGGAGGTTGTACCTCTTCATGATTTCGAAGATGCCCCGGAGGTCGTCGGCATGCGTAGTGGATTGTTTGCTCTTAACGATCATATCGTCGACGTATGCTTCCATCGTCCGACCTAAGACTGCTCTAAAAATCCGGGCTACCATCCTTGTGTAGGTGGCGCCGGAGTTCTTGAGCCCAAAGGCCATGACGAGGTAGCAAAAGATTCCCTCCGGGGTCATAAAAGCAGTCTTCTCCGCGTCATCTTCGTGCATGGATATCTGGTGGTACCCTCTGAACGCGTCGAGGAACGACATCAACTCGCACCCCGCCGTCTCATCCACCAACTGATCAATGTTGGGGAGAGGGAATGGGTCCATTGGGCACGCCTTGTTCAAGTCAGTGTAATCAACACACATTCTGAACGTAGGCGGCTTTGGGGCGAGGACGACGTTCGCCAACCACGTGGGGTACTTCACCTCTCTAATGTGCTTGATGCTGAGCAGCATGGCCACCTCGGCCTTGACAAATTCCCTCCTGTCGGCTGAGAGGTAGCGCTTCTTCTGTTTGATGGGGGAGGAGGCCGGGTTCACCGATAGCCGATGTGTGATGACCTTCGGGCTGATGCCCGGCATGTCCTCTGGTCCCCATGCAAAGACGATGGCGTACGCTCTCAGGATAGAGAGGATGTCCCTTCGGATCTGTTGGGGGAGTTGTGTCCCAATTTTCAGCATTCGTTCCGGCCGGGAGACGTCCAACGGAACATCTTCCACGTCTCCGACCGGTTCGGCCTTTGGTATGTCTTCTTCGGCCGAGGCGGTGGTGATAGTGTCTATCCGCTCCTCGGCCTCATTGATCTTCTTAGTGAGCTTCAGGTAGCAAGCTCGGGCTATCTTCTGGTTTCCTCTGGCGTAGCCGACGCCGTCCTTGGTGGGGAACTTGAGGCATAGATGTTTCATGGAGATGATGGCCTCAAGGTCCTCCAAGGCCGGTCGGCCCCAGATCATGTTGTGGGCGCTGTCCAGGTTGACAACCACGAACTCCATGTCAATCTTCGCCTGATAGGTACCGTCACCGACCACAACGGGAAGCACTATCGTGCCCTCGGCGTCGATAGAGTCCCCGGTGAAGCCGGATAACGGAGTCCGTATCGGCCGGAGCTCGGTCTTCTTCAGTTTCAATTGTCTGAAGGTGTCAACGTACATCACGTTGACAGAGCTGCCGGTGTCGATGTAGTTGCGGTGGATGATGTTGTTGCCAATCTCGCATTTGACGACGAGGGCGTCCCTGTGGGGCAAGGGGCCAAAGGGGAGGTCCTTGTCGGTGAAGGTGATGGCTTCCACATGCCGCCGCTTCGGCTGAGGGGGGGCGTGGGTTACCTCACCAATGTATAGGGACTGAGCCCATTTCTTCCGTTGGGTAGCCGAGTCCCCCCCTGTGTTCCCGCCGACGATGATGTGGATGTGATGCTTCTTCTGGCGGGGCTCCTCTTCGTCCTCATCTTCACTGAGGGCGCCGATCTCCCTCTTTTTCCCGGAGGATCCTTCCCCCCTTTTGCCAGGGTTGACCCAAGTGTTACTCTTGGGGGCACCCTTGACAAAGTGGGAAAGCTCCCCCTGTCGGATGAGGCCGTCGATGTGCCTCTTCAGGGTGGTGCAATCTTCGGTCCTGTGGGATGTCTGACGGTGGTATTTGCAATATGTCCCTCCTTTGTGGATTGCAAATATCTCCTCCTCTGACCTGGGGTCCTTCACAATGAGGCCCTGCGCCTCGGCGTGGTCGAGGACGACGCTCACCGGGTGGGTGAGGGGGATGCGCTGTGCCTCCAACTTTGGGCGCCATGAGCGGTCCTCTCTTCGCTGTCCGCCTTGCTCCTGGTGTGCCTTCTTTAGCTGGTGCTGTCCCTTGTTGGCCGGCGGGTGGTGGGGGTTGGACGAGGAGTCCTTCTTTTGTTGCTTCTCCCCACCCTTCTTCTAGTTCAGGAGCTCGTCGGCATCAGCGTGCCTATCTCCGCGTCGGAGCGCCGCGAGGTATGACCGCGGCGGCTCCGTGAACAGGCTCCGGGCGAAGTGGCTAGGCCGGAGTGCTCCGCGGAGGAAAGCCAAGAGAGTGCGCTCGTCGGCCCCTTCACATTCGTCCGCCTCCCTTGTCCAGCGATCGAGGAAGGCTCGGAGTGTCTCCTCCGATTGTTGTTTGATGGTCAGGAGGTGGGCGAAATGCTTCTTCGCACGCTTCCTCCCGGCAAAGTGGGTGAGGAAGCGCTGAGCAAGGTCCTGCCATGAGTCGATGCTCCCTTCTGGAAGGTTATTGAACCAGTCATACGCTGGCCCTTCCAAGGTGGAGAGGAACCAGCGGCACATGTATTCCTCTGAAGCGTTGGTCATCATCATGTTGTTCTGATAGCGGGTGAAATGCTCCTGAGGATCAGTGCGGCCGTCATATGGCTTGATCGGATTCCCCTTGTACTTCTCCGGGATGGGAGCGGAGAGCACCCTCGCAGAGAAGGGGGTCCGGGTCCGTACTTGGATGACGGGCTCGTCGCGTCGGTCGGCCAACTCCCTCTCCAAGGCACTGACCTTGTGCAGGAGTGCATCGTAGTTGGGATGCTGGGATATGTGAGCCGCCGCGCGCCCTGCGGCCTCTCGGGCCTCCATATCAGCGAGGCGCTTCTCCAGGCGGGCGATGATCTCGTCCCTTGGATCCGTGTTGGCCACAGCGCCACCCAGAGGGGTCTGGATCCGGGCCGCGTGGGCCAGGTTGATCTGGTGACGCGCATCATCATCATTCAGCTTTCCTTTGCCTTTGTCTGGTCGGGGCCGATCCGTTGTCCGGGAAACGGACCCAAAGCTTTCCTTTGGCGACCCCGGCTCGCGGCCACCCAACCGACCCGCCACCCCTCCCGTAGGTACCCGACGGCTCGCGATGTCACCCAGCCTGTTGAAGGCTGAGATTTTACCGCGAGGTTGGGCCGGTGTATCCCGGGTAGGTGAGGCAGTGTGGGAATGGGTGTCCACGGCGAGGACGTCCTCGTTGTCACCGAAGAAGGTGACGCCTTGCGGACGAGGTGGCGGTGGTGGCACCGTTGCGACCTCTCCAGTTGCCGGAGTGTTGTTCTCCCCTGTCTTTGCGACGAGAGCGCTGACCACGTTGGGGTCCTGGAGAATGCTCGCGACGATGGCCGATAGTGCGGCTGGGTTGATCTGGGGGGCAGCAGGGTGAGAAGTCTGCTGGCCCGAAGCGCGATCAGCATTGCGCCTGTCCTCGAGCCCGATGCGGGCGTCTGGGGCAGTCTTGTTGAGCTGGACGCGGAGGTCAGCCGCTGCGTGCTCGACCTCCTGAGCATTCTCATCCTGGATGATGAGATCATTGGGGACGTTGTCAGCAACGTTTCCCTGCCCCTCCTGGTTCAGTGGGGCGTTCCTACCGGTGTTCTTTGACCTAGTTCTTGTCATAGCTAGCGGTAGTGTCTGGCAGCGACGAAGGGTACTCACTTGATCTGTTCTCAGCTCTCAATGAAAGCACCAAATGATAGAGTATTAATTCTAGAGAGAAGTGAGAGCTAGAGAGAGAAAGTGAGTAATTATATTTCTCAACCCCCTATAACTAGCCCCAAGGGGTCTATTTATAGGTAAAAATGTGGATTTGGGCTCCTAGCCATGGGCTTAGGAGGCCCATTACAATAATCGTGCCTTCTTTGGGCGAAATAGGGCCACTAAT